TCAGCCCCGGGTCAGTTTCAGCAGTGGCTGACTTGGGGAAGCCTGGGGCAGAGCAGCTGGGGTGCTGCTGGGTTGCTCCAGTAGCGCCGAGGAGCGGCGCTACTGGAGCAACCCAGCAGCGCCCCAGCTGCTCTGCCCCTGGCGTCCCCAAGTCAGCCACTGCTGAAACTGACCAGCGGCTGACTACAGGAAGCCCGAGGCAGAATTGCTCTGCCCTAGGCTTCCTGGAATCAGCCGCTGATCAGTTTCAGCAGCAGTTGACTTGGGGACGCCTGGGGTTCTTAAGTTGAATCTGTTTGTAAGTCAGAACTGGCATCCAGATTTAGCCGCTGTTGAAACTGATCAGTTTCAGCAGCGGCTGAATCTGGACACCAGTTCTGACTTACATACAGATTCAACTTAAGAACAAACCTACAGTCCCTATCTTGTACGTAACCCGGGGACTGCCTGTATACAAATACCCCCTCCTCCACTTCACCCCAAACACAATTCCACATTTGTGAAAATCATAGAACACTTGAACTGAAAGGGACTTCTAGAGGTCAGCAAGACCAGTCCTCTGCCCTCATGGCAGGACCAAGCACCATAGATCATCCCTGACAGATGCCTATCTAAACTGCTTTTAAATATCTCCAGTGATGGGAGATTCTACAACTGCCCAAAATGTTACAAAAGTTTTATTTTTGGCACAATGTGAAAAACTTCAAAAGTAGCTGAGTAGTACAACAGTTGTCCTGATCCTGGTCAACACTGGGGCTACGTCTACACTGGCCCCTTTTCCGGAAGGGGCATGTAAATTTCATGAGTCGTAGTAGGGAAATGCGCGGGGGATTTAAATATCCCCCGCGGCATTTAAATAAAAATGTCCGCCGCTTTTTTCCGGCTTTTAAAAAAGCCGGAAAAGAGCGTCTACACTGGCCCCGATCCTCCGGAAAAAGCGCCCTTTTCCAGAGGCTCTTATTCCTACTTCAAAGGAAAAGGGGCCAGTGTAGACGAGCCCTGGGAGTTTCAGTTAGGTATGTAAAAGAGTACATTCATTAACTACCATGGTTAGGCTAATTGGGTAGTGTAGTAGTTCAGAACAGCAGTACAAGTAAATTTAGGATTCACTGGTGTGGCATCCTGACAGATCTCCTGCTCCATCAGTGATGATAAACCTTTGGCTGTGTGTGTTTTCATATGCTCCCTCAGTATATCATGCCAGCTCTGCGCAGGTAGTTAGCAAAATAGACTTCATGAGAGCCCCCAAAGACTGCAGACTCAGAGAAGATACGAAGGCACCTGAGTCAGGTTTATTGTTGAACCAAGATAAGCTGTCTGTTACTCAACGTATAACAGAATAGGTAGAAATGGTGTCCCTAGCCTCTGTTTCTCTGGAGGAGACAGGGGAGGGTTCATGTGAGGATTACCTGTTGTGTTCCCTCCCCTCTGGGGCATCTGGTATTGGCCACTGTCGGCAGACAGGATACTGGGCTAGATGGACCTTGGGCTGTTCTTATGTTCTTAACTCTTGCTTACTTTGGTTCAAGCACCAGGCCCATGCGTCAGGCTCTTTCTTTCTGCTACATTCCCCCACCGTGAAGATTACCTGTTGGCTGCGTCTAGATTGGCATGATTTTCCGGAAATGCTTTAAACGGAAAAGTTTTCTGTTAAAAGCATTTTCGGAAAAGCGCGTCTAGATTGGCAGGACGCCTTTTCCGCAAAAGCACTTTTTGTGGAAAAGCGTCTGTGCCAATCTAGA